ACTGCGAGATTTGGCTCAGTTCTATGCAAGCTGGACTGGACGCCTCGTGCCTGAGCAAGCGGGTGGTCCCCCATTCCACCGCGATGTACGGTAGCAGTAACTGCTGACGCGAGGGGTGAACTTTCTTTTCTGGCCATTATTTTGGCTGCAAGTGCGACGGGTCGCCCATTTTCCATGCGGTTCGGTAACATGTGTGAATGCCGATAGGAATGACACAGCGAGCAGTAAACGTGGCGGATTTGCAACACAAGATGGCGCTCACGAGAATTGAGAGTGGCGATCATCGGCACGCATTATTTCGCACAGCTCGCTGGCCAGAGCATTCAGTACAGCTGGTCACCAACTTTTTGTCGTGATTTTCGTCAATGCGGGGAAAGCACGGGTGATGCAGGTTGTGCACGGGTAATAATACGAAGAACTTGAACTTCACGTTTCACTTCATATTTCTTCTCAAAAACCACCATACATAAAGATTCTCCTTTTTCAAGCGTAAAGCATTGGTGGATCAGTACTCCCCCATGCCACCCATCTAGCTACAGCCACATTGATTGGAGTCCTGTCAGCCTTCACTGCACCCCACAACCGTGAAGTTACTGTGCTGTGTGCAATAAGCCACACCGGGACAAATGCACCAAACCCTTCCTTGGTCTTCACTATATCGAGTATGCCGCTGTACACAGCTGCAGCTGCACCCTGTGCTGCACTGCACTCTCTTTCTGAGCACCAGCCGTTGGGTCCCTCCAGTGGTGGTCGAAATGAACGTGATTGTAACGAAGTCAATAAATTTGGTTGCGACCGAATCAATTTCGTTAGGCAGCCTACAGGGTTGGTGGTGTTGGGAAGCTGGTTACCAATCAGCAGCGAGACTCTATCGAAGGCAGGGTTGACAATAAAGAAGGGAGAAGAGGCAAGAGGAAGGGCGTATTGGGGAAAGAAGCATCGCCACCGCTCAGATGCAGGGGTCACTGCAGGCAGGGCGGGGTGTGCAGAGGGACAAGGGAGTTCTGAAGAGATAGGTGGCGGGAGACGACGCAAAAGACATGGGATAGATGGACTGATAAGACAGAGATATAGTGCGAAGCTATCTTGGGATACGACTGTTGGTCCCAGCAGTGGCAAGGTGTTAAGTAACGGAGGGCATAGAAGGAGAGACGGTTCAGAGGGAGGAAGAACAGCGGGCAGAGAAGGGATACAGTGGGAGGGGAGAAAAAGAGGACCAGAACAGCGCCAGATACAGGCAATGAGCAGGCATAGACTGTGAGTGGTTGCATGGGAGCGCGTGGAGGGCCCACCTTGATCACAGCGGGACCGCGGTGAGAATCGATGCAGCGCTGAGACCTGCTGAGCCAGGCTCTGGAAGTGCATTCGCCCCGTGCGGTCCGGTGCGTCTGGTGGGGGGGGAAAAGGAAAACAGTTGGGAGAGCGTAGGAACCGGGTGGAGAAATTGGGGTGGGAATGGGTCAAGGTGGGAGAGAGAGAATGGGGGAAATGCAGATATAATGGGGGCAGGGAGGAAGGAAGCCAATGGTGGGAGGGAGGTGATGGTAAGTGGAGGTCAGTGACCCAGGAAGTACCGAAGCGGCACTTACCAAGAAAAAGACACTTCTCCTTCTAAGTTCTCAGTGGGAAGCGAACAAGAGGTTGCGTACCAGGGACAAAAGAGAAGGGGAGCGAACCCTGGAAGAAAGAGAAGACATGCGTACCGGGGAAGAAGGAGCCATCGAGGAGGCATTTGACGGTGGCGCGGGGCAGCAGAGCAGCGAGGGAGTCACACAGGCGCATCGCTGCCAGCCCCCCCGCTGACGTCCCCGACACCAGCACCGTTGTTGCCCTGCTCAGCGCCCGGTTCGCCAGCAGGTCTGGTGAGGTGAGCAGCGGTTGGCGGAGGGCCAGGAGAACGGGCAGAGGGAGAAGAGGTAGGAGAAAGAGCGGTGGGAGAAAGGCAGAAAGTCACTGTCATGCATGTTTCATCAAGGTACTGGCAGGTGGCTGGCGGCTCTGCCCCCAAAGCACCACGCATCCCAAGGTAACGACTTCTGAGGGACCAGACATCCCTAGCACATTCCAAAGCACCACACATCCCAAGGTAACGACTTTTAAGGGAACGAACGACTTGAGTTAGGAGCGACTAAAGGGACTCCCACACGTCCTCATTACAGCATATTCCAAGCAACGCACCGTCCATGATAGCGCTGACGATCCTGCTGCCATCCATGTGCACGTAGCGCCCCTCCCCCACGGCCACGCGCCCGGCTGCTCCCGCATAGCCGCCCCCATCGCAGTAGACAGCCATGGCCAGGTGCCACCCCGCAAAGAACGGGTTCGCCCCCTCGTTGCTGCTCAAGATGCCTCTGAAACGGCCCTGCACCCACGAGGCCTGGGGGAGAGTGAGAGAGAGCGCAGGAAAGAGTTGAGGCCGAATGGGAGATTGAAAATCATGTGATGAAGCCAGCAAGTCCAATTGGCAATGGTCCATTTCAAGCAGCAATGGTTGTTTTTCCCTAAGGGTTTGCTGCTGCCCGCAATGTTCCTAAGCCAAGGCAGCCTGGAGAGACCGATAGGGTGGTACAGGGGGTTAGGGATTGGGGGTTGGGTTGGTTGAACCCTTTCATGCAATTAGAACATCCTGATAATGATCAAAAGTGAACACTTGTCAAAGCGCAAGTGGCGGAGATAATCCCACTTACGTTATTGGTCGGCGGCCACCTGGTGGTGCCGCCCAGCAGCCGCCCGGCCCGCCATCTGCACTGCCTCTTGTTGCCGCACCACCCGCCGCCCGGAAAGTGGATGTGCCACGAGGTGACGCCTTCCCCAGGTGCCGCCCGCAGGTAATACCCCGGCGGACTGGGATGCATGAAGGGGGGACGAGCGGAGAAGAAGACAAGCGGAGAAGGGGATAAGGGGGAAGCGGAATGAGGGAGTGGGGGAGTAGAACCAGTCTAGTCCTGGCAATATGGTGGTTGGTGGAAAGCTACAAGATGTGCACGCAGCTCTATTACGAAGCACACCTTGAGGGGGACAATGATTGTACCAGCGATCTCAACAGCGCATGATGCTTGACGGACGTCACTTTTTTTTTTTTCTGTAGAAGCTTCCACTCCATACCTCCCATCCAGGCATCGCGCTCCGTATTTATTCTCCGGAAGAAGAACCAGCGTGGCGAGACGTGGTTCGCTCGCCGCTCGCCGCGCCGCTCCTAGCCGCAGCGCGCTCAATTTCGATGGACACACCACCAGGACGAACAAAAACGTCACGGCGATTTGCCATGCCACGTGGACGCCTGGCCTTCGATCAGGACAGTAGAATTTAAAGCCTCGCATCACCGAGATCGACGGGTAGAAAGTCATGATGGGATTTAAGATGCGGCGCGAAAAGTTCGCCCGGTAACAACGCGGCTTCAGCATGCGAGATCAGGCGACGGAAATTTGAAAGAGATGACCGCGAAAGAGGCGATAGGGGAAGAGGTGATAGGGCAAGGCGGTAGGGGAGGTGTGAACCGTGCGGTGAAAGGCCAGATATGGAGATGAGGGCTGGACGGGCCGCTGCCGAGGACAGATCGTCACAGGTGATTCGTGAGACGATCGGCATGGTGGAAATCAGCTGCCAATAAATAGGCGATTCCGCAGCAACTAGCTTGGCGAGTACTTAGCAACACGTTGCGGTTAGCGGTTGTGCGCCTGAACGCTATTGGACACGCGTAGCTGTAGGATTGGCTGAAGTATCCAGCAGTATCAGACACTTGATGACTGGCGGTCCTTCCTGCGGTGCGGAGTTCCCTGAGCGGTCTTCAGGATAATCCGAATCGGGCGACAAAGTCGAGAAGACAGGTGCTGCAGCGACAACAGAGGTTGGCGCTGGTCGGTTTTTGGCAGCCATTACTTTTTACTTCTGACAGGCGCGCAGGGCGTGTGCGAGGAGAGATGAACAGCGATACCACCTGGTCGCCACTTTTTTCATCCCCAAAAACGACTCTATTCAAAACCCGAAACATTTTTCGGCAAGATCAACGAGACACCAAGAACTAGGGGCTATGTTATGTGCTGTCATTTGTGGATGCGCAAAACTCTCGCAACCGTACCGATAGCAGCGCATGGTCTAGATGTTTACTTGAGAGTCATTTCCCGTTGTTCCAGGGAAGGTGTCCCTAACATACCCTCTCATATTTCGGGCTGTCCTAGAAAGCCCGGAAGACCAAGGGCTGTTGCCGATGGGTGTGATATTTAGGCCTTGAAATTGCCGGTGACCAAGAGTATGTGTAATGGTTTGGGAAAAGCATGCAGGGAGAGTGTGTGCTTGGTCAACCGCTGCCACTAACTGCTCTGGTTTGGACGGAGTATGGTTCGTCTAGTGTGAAATAACTTTCAAGATACAATCAGCATTTTGCATGAACCAGACTCTTACACTGCTGATAAGCTATTATCGAGGATTCGCTCTGACGGGCCGCACAACCTCCCAGAAGTCGAGCCAGGCCTGGAGGAGGTTGTTGTGTGACCTTGGCTTGGTGCTTCGCGCCAACCGAGCCTGTAAATTGCCCGTCTTCAACTGTGGAGTGTCCTCCTTCCACCAACATCCCTCCCCCCCACCAATTCCCCTTTCCGTCGGGGAATTCCCATGGATCTCACCGTCACCCTCTCCCATCCCATCCCACCGCACACATCCACTGTCCTTCCTTCCAGCTTTTCGGGTCATAGAATGTGACTTGCAACTCGAGCAGCAACTCCAGGCGTCACGTCAAGACCTTCTGTCCACACAGCTCCGCAAACTGCAGCGAGAGGCTGGCCATCTGCCTGCATTCTGCCTCGTCGCTGCAACCGCGGAAGCTTTGACTGGACGCCTGGTCGACTAATTAAGGTTGTCGCTTGTGCCCCTGTTCGAACTGAGGCAGTCACAGAGGCTGTTGGACCAATCAGTTCACAATCTCGCGTGGTGCTCGGCCGATTTAACCGATCGTATCCGCTGATTTTCCAGCCGTTAGACTCTCTCTTCGCGTCTCGAACGTCATGACGACTGTGGCAGTGACACGTGGCGGGCCTCAAGCCGCAGTAGCTCTAGCGGCCTGCGCGGCGGCCGGTACGGCCTGCCTCGTGTGGGCCCTCCGCGGTCGTTACTTGCAGGTTTTCCTCGGAACGGATCCCGAGAAAGGCGGTGGAAATGGCGGGAATGGAGGGAAGGAACGGCAGGGAGTCACGCTGACGTCACTGAACCACTTGATCGCGCTGACGGGTGACAGCTGGCACTCCTCGCTACAGCGGCTCGCGATTGGACAGATGGTTATCGGCGTGAGTAGTGGCAGTAGAACCAGCCGACAAGTGTGCTAAGGAATGTAGCTCGTTATTCGCGTGAAGCCTGACCTTGAATCAGGACGACATATTATGTCGTACGCATCTTGTTAGATGTTTGACGATGTTTGACGACAGTTTTTCTTATGTCTAACGCACCCTGGTGGCGGCCCTCCGGAAAATCATGGGCACGGTGGAAAACTAGGAGCATCAGAGGACTATTCAGGCAATCTCAAATAATCGCTTCGCGTGCCCGACAGGCGATTTACGAGTAGCATCAGTGGTCAACATGTCCGGGCACAAATTCAGAGCACTTCTGCCGTTATCCCTCCTTCCCCACATTTCGCATCACCGTTCCCCTCCAGTTGAAGCTCACCAACGAGCCCAGACTCGCCGCCATCCCCTCGCCGCTGCCTGACTCGCTCGCCATGCTGGCATCTCTGCGTGACGTGGACCTGTCGGCCAATGGGCTTTCGACATTCCCCGACGCCCTGCTGTCCGTTCCTGAGCTCAAGAAGCTCAATCTGTCAAGAAACAAACTTACGAGGTGAGAATCGGGATGTTATGAAGCTCGTCGAATAGCTTAATCACAAGCGTAGCTCAAGCAATCTCAGAAGAAAACAGGCGCTTTTGTTGGAGCGATTGTAAAATCCCCGGGTCTCTTAGTGACTTTTGAGTCGATGTGACTTTTGAGTCGACGAGAATTTTGAGTCGACGTGACTTTTGAGTCGACGTGACTTTTGAGTCGACGTGACTTTTGAGTTGACTCAAAAGCAATTGTAAAATCCCTGGGTCTCTTAGTTCCCTTCCTCTTGCTTTCTCTTCCTCGTCCCTTCCTTCCCTCTTCCTCTCTCCCTCCTCCCTTCCTTCTCTCCCCAGCTCGCACAACCACACGTACTCGCTAGTTTTGAGGCGCCTTAAAACCACGCTTACTCGCCTTCAACATCCTCCCTCCATCCCCCTCCCTCCGTCCCTTTCCCTCCAATCATGTCCCTCCGATCCACTTATCCACTCTCATCCCCTCCCCATTCCTCCACCCCTCCTATTTTCCCCACCCCAACCCTCAGTCTTCCTCAGCCAATTCGCCGGCTCTCCCACCTGGAGCACCTGGACTTGGGCCGAAACCACCTGTCAGGTGTTCCTGAGGAGATCGGGCACCTGACGAAACTCCTGACGCTCAACCTGATGTGCAACCAGTTGGAGAGCCTACCTGACAGCATCGGGCGGCTCACGAGGGTTTTCCGCCTGGGACTCAAGAGCAACAGGCTCAGGTGCGGTTGCAGGGCGGTTAGGCTGGGTGCAGCTTTTGAGGCGCATAAAAAGTCGTCTGGGACTCAAAAGCAACAGGCTCAGACCAGGTTCTTAAGACAGGTGCTGCCTAAAGTCCTACAGCTCATCATTTTGAAACAACCATCTTGATTTCTGCCCTTTCTTTGCTTTCCCTTGCCGTCCATCACCACCCAGCCACCGTCGCCATGGTCTCTCTCAGGTGGATCTCTACCTCAGAAAGGGCGGCCTCCCCGCCCTGCCCAACCTGACAGCCTGCTGTCTGTTCCCGCCTTTCTGTCTCTTCCCGCCCATCAGCGCCCTGCCCTCGTCCATAGGCGGCATGACCTCTCTCGTGGAGCTCTACCTCACACTCACAGACAACCGCCTCACTGCCCTGCCGGACTCCATCGGCTGCTTTCTGTTCCTTCCCTCCATTCATCTCCCCTCCCTTCCTCCTCCTCCTCCCCATCAGCGCCCTGCCCTCATCAACAGGCGGCATGACCTCTCTCGTGGAGCTCTACCTCACAGACAACCGCCTCACCGCCCTGCCGGACTCCATCGGCTGCTGCACCAACCTCGTCAAACTTCAGGTCAGCGTTCCACCCACCCCCGAACCCTGACCTTCAGACTCAGAAAGGAGTGTGTACAGAATTTCGTATGTTTTTCGTCCGTTTTCTCTCCCGCTCTCTCTGTGCATCGACACGCGTCTTGCAACCATCGGCCATCTCTCCCGTCTCGAGCTGCTTCGCCTTGCAGCCAACAACCTGCACGCCCTCCCCCCTCCTCCCTCGCCCTGCTGCCTCGCCTGGCGTGGCACTTACCCCTCACCTGCTCTCCCCCTTCTCATCCCTCTCCCCCCCCTTCCTGCTCGACAAGCATCCTTCAACCAGTTGTACGCCCTGCCAGACTCTATCGGCCATCTCTCCCGCCTCAAGCTGCTGCTTCTCGCACCCAACAATCTGCACGCCCTGCCCTCCTCCCTCGTGCTGCTCCCCCGCCCTATCACTCACCCTTCACCTGCTTTCCCCCTTCTCAACCTCCTCCATCACCAGGCCTCTTTCAACCAGCTGTACGCCCTGCCAGATACAATCGGCCTTCTCTCCCGTCTCGAGCTGCTCCTTCTCGCAGCCAACAATCTGCACGCCCTGCCCTATCACTCACCCTTCACCTGCTTTCCCCCTTCCCCACCCCCGCCGTCACCAGGCCTCTTTCAACGAGCTGTACGCCCTGCCAGATACAATCGGCCATCTCTCCCGCCTGGAACTGCTCCGTCTCGCTGCCAACAACCTGCACGCCCTGCCCTCCTCCCTCGCGCTGCTCCCCCGCCTGGCATGGCTGTCCCTCGCCAGCAACCCCCTCTGCCCGCCACTGCCGCCGCACCACGAGGGCGTGGAGGATATTCCCTTTGGAGACCTGCAGCTGGGGAGGAAGCTGGGCGACGGCGCCAGTGGTGAGTCTCCCTCCCCCCTCCAAACCCTCCCCTCCCTCCCCTCGCGCTGCTCCCCCGCCTGGCGTGGCTGTCCCTTGCCAGCAACCCCCTCTGCCCGCCGCTGCCGCCACACCATCAGGGGGTGAAGGAAATTCCCTTTGGGGAGTTGAGGCTCGGGAGGAAGCTGGGTGACGGTGCAAGGTGGGTTCCCTCACCTTCCCTCCTCAACCCGCTCTGCCCGCTGCTGCCGCCGCAGCCCTCCTTCCATCCCTCCGCCTCCCTTAACCTCCTTTTCCTCTGCTGCCCACACCCTCTCACCCTCTCACACACCACCAGGCGATGTCTACGCGGCGGTGTGGCACGGGCACAAGGTGGTGTTCAAGCAGTTCAACAGCAAGACCAATCCAGCCAGGTCACTCTCTCCATCCTCCACCCCCTTTCCCCTCTCTCCTCTGCTGCCCACACCCTCTTCACAAACAGGCGATGTCTATGCGGCGGTGTGGCACGGGCACGAGGTGGTGTTCAAGCAGTTCAACAGCGAGACCAGCCCGGACGGGCGGGCAGTGGATGAGATCGCCATGACCGCTGCTGTCGACCACCCCCACCTCGTGCAGGTGCTGCCTGGGGGAGGTGGGGGTTGCGTGCTGGTGGGGGGAGGGGTGCGGTGGAGGTAGCACACTTGCGTGTGTGCGGAAGGGGTCTGCTGGTGTAGCAACAGTGTGGGGGACAGGCGTGCAGTGGATGAGATCGCCGTGACTGATGCTTCCGACCACCCCCACCTCGTGCATGCAGGTGCTGCCTTGGGGAGGGGGTAATAATGCGAGGGGGTAATAATGCGGGGGGGTAACGCACATACATGGGAAGGAAATGCGGCTAGCTGCTGTGCTGCTCCCGTTGTGCTCCACGCACCCATCCCCCCAACCCTACACTCCCTATTTCGCAACCCCTCTGTTCGTGCCAACTCTTCCCCTCTCACCCGTCTTCCCACCCTCTGTTCCCACCTCCCCCCGGTCTGCCTGGCAGGTCGAGGCAACAGTGGAGCAGCCGCATGGGCTGGTCATGCGGCACGCTCTGCTCATCTTCTGCTCCACACACCCATTCCCCCAACCCTTCTCACTCCCCACTTCACCCCCCTTGTGTTCCTCTCCCTTCCTCTCACCACCCCTGCCTGTCAGGTCGAGGCAACAGTGGAGCAGCCCCACGGGCTGGTCATGCGGCGTGTGTTTGGCAGGTGGGTGCAGGGGAAGGTGGTCGCAGGGGGGATGGGAAGTGGGCGTAAGGGGAGGTACAGGGGGGCTGGGACGCGGGGTGCAAATTATGGGGGGAGGTACAGGGGGGCTGGGACGTGGGGTGCGGTTTTTTTTCCCCCCGCGTCTCTCCCCTTCCTTGCCTTCACCATTACTCCCTCCAATCCACTCGTTCAGGGCCATGGCGGATCCACCCAATGGTGAATCCCTGCGGCGCTGCCGCTGGCCCCCCACTGCCTGCTACCTACTCACGCTCGCCTCTATGTGGAGTGTGCTCACATCCTCCCATCTCTCTGCCCCTCCAATCCACTCGCTCAGGGCCATGGCGGATCCACCCAATGGTGAATCCCTGCGGCGCTGCCGCTGGCCCCCCACTGCCTGCTACCTACTCACGCTCGCCTCTTTGCGGAGTGTGCTCACATCCTCCCATCTCTCTGCCCCTCCAATCCACTCGCTCAGGGCCATGGCGGATCCACCCAACGGTGAATCGCTGCTGCGCTGCCGCTGGCCCCCCTCCGCTTCCTACTCGCTTGCCACAGTGCTGAGTGCTGCACACTCAGCTCGTTTGCCACAGTGCTGAGTGCTGCACACTCAGCTCGCTTGCCACAGTGCTGAGTGCTGCACACTCAGCTCGCTTGCCACAGTGCTGAGTGCTGCACACTCAGCTCGCTTGCCACAGTGCTGAGTGCTGCACACTCAGCTCGCTTGCCACAGTGCTGAGTGTGCTCACGTCCCCCCATCTCTCTCCCCTTCCACACCTCCCTTCCTCCACTCCACTCCCTCTGGACCATGGCGGATCCTCCCAATGGAGGCTTGCTGCTGCGCTGTCGCTGGCCCCCCACTGCCCGCTACTCACACTCTGTGCTCAGTGTGCTCACAACCTCCCATCTCTCTCCTCCTTCCACACCTCTCTGCCCCCTCATGCCCCCCTGCAGGGCCATGGCGGATCCCCCCAATGGTGAATCGCTGCTGCGCTGCCGCTGGTCCCCCACCGCTTCCTACTCGCTCGCCACAGTAGTGGCCGTGGGGAGGGGCCTGGCGTCGGCTTTAGAGTGGATGCATGCGCGGGGGTGGGCGCATGGGGATGTGTATGCTCACAACGTTCTTGTGGATGATAAGGGGTTCGCTGTGTTGTGTGACTATGGTGAGTTGTTGTGACTATTGTGAGTTGTGATAGTAGCAGTGTCTGTGAGGAGGCAGTGGCTTAGGAGTGCATGCATGGGGGGGAGGGGGTGGGCGGGCGCATGGCCATGTGTATGCACACAACGTGCTTGTGGGTGATGACGTATGCTGATCTTTGTTACTCTGGTGAGTTGAGAATATGGTGAGTTGTGACTATGGTGAGTTGAGACTATGGTGAGTTGAGACTATGATGAGTTGTGACTATGGTGAGTTGTCACAATAGTAGAGTGGCCGCAGGGAGGGGGCTAGCGTCAACTTCAGAGTGGATGCATGCGCGGGGTTGGGCGCATGGGGATGTGTAAGCATCCTGGCAGAATTAGAGGCACGTCAGAATCAACCGCCTCTCCTCTCACCCCTACCCTCCAATTTATCACATGTGCAGGTGCATCCTTCCCCTACCCTCGTCACAGTCCCATCCCCTTTGAATCACACGAGGTAAGGGCACTCGCCCTGTTGCTCCAAGGCCTCTGCACGCGCCTCTCAGTCCCCGAGACAACAGCAGAGCTTCAGAGCCGAGAGCAGCTGGGGCGGCTGATCGAGACGTGCGTGGGAGGAACTGCTAAGGAGAGGCTTAGTTTTAGAGATGTTGGTGAGCAGCTGGCTGTAATTTCGAGGAGCCATGTGTGAGGGTTAAAAGGTGATGCTCGGTGAGTTTGCTAGGATCAGGAACAGCTGGGGCAGCTGATTGAGGTGTGTGTGGGAGGGAATGCTGAGCAGCTGGCTGCTATTCGCAGGAGCCATTTTTTAGGTATCACTCACGGATGGCGTTTGGGGATTGTGAGCAAGGATGGATAGATGAACGGTAAGTGAGATTGCCTTGAATAGGAATATTGAAAGCATTTCCTCCTATTAGTCTATTAGCGATCTTTTGACAGCTGTTGAAAGGTGTAGATCACTCTTTGAGCTATGAGCACTTCACAAGTTAACATATACAAATATAGGCAGCGGGGAAAAATGGAGATGCAGTGCAGGTTCTTTAGACATACATGGCCTCACTGCCACATCCGCGATAGAACAGCTGCGAGTGGTGTCGCTCGTGGCTGAAAACAAACGCGTCCTCGCCAGCCCCATGCGACGCGTGCTGCCTTGGGAGCACCCTCACGCCTGTCGCATATACATCCTCGTTACAAGCATACACCCTTGTATCCGAGTGTTCACCCACTGAGTATTCTGGTAACTTATTCCGGTGAGCGAGAATCTGCGTGTCCGTGTGCATCACCAATCTGTCGTGGAGATTATTCCAAGCTTGCTCCTCTTGATGCTGTCCGACAATGTTCCCGCAACTCTCGCTGTTTTGACTGATCTTCCGACCGGTGTTAGCCTTGCGAGATTTGAAACTCCATCCTTTGAGTAGGGGAAGCTTGTCCAGTAACGACGGCTTAGGCGATGCTCGGCGGGCCGCTGTGGTTGGCTGTGCGAGAGAATCGAGAGATCGTCTTCCGCGAAGTTGGCCGTTGGAGGAATGGGGAGAGTGCTGCTGGTTGTTGGGTGAACGACTGTCGGTCATATCCTCGAAATCGTCGAGCTGCAGATAGTGAATACAAGGGAATGATGGACACGTTTAGCTCCATGCGACAAGATGAGAGGAAAAAGAACATGGAGCAGGCGACTATTTTTTTATGTCAAACTAACCTCTTGGAGAATGGGGTTCGCAGGTCGGCGAGTGTCAGACGTGCAAATGGTTTGCATTGTGTCGATGCTCCCCACGCCCTCCATTTCCTGCCACGTCGGAAGTCGCGCGCCACCCTCACCATTGTAGTGACTATAACGATACGGAATCGGAGTCGCACCGTCGCTGATTGTGGAAAGCGCGGGAGAATATGGAGACAGCGGCGAAAGCGGCGAAACCGGACCGTAAGAACCGAGCGCTATCTGTCCGTCGTAGTTCCCGGAGTTGGGGATTAAACCGTCTGTTCTCTCATTCGATTGAACCTCGGACCTCCGGTCAACGGGACGCGCGAGGGACGTCATGCCGTTGGACGGCAATGTCAGCGATTTCTGCAGTGCCCTAAAGGGGGGAACTTGGCAATCCGAGTACGCCGAATCAAAACCCTCCACCTCGATTCTCGCCGCCGTTCGCGGACGGTGCGTTTCGGCGACGAGGTAGTACGTTCGCCCAGGTTGGAGGGTCGTGGCGGGTGGCAGGGGGGTTCGAGGAGTGGCGGCGCTGAGGGTGGAAAGGAGCATGTGGCCGGGGAAATCGGCGAGCACAGCCGACGCCGTGAGACGCGCGTCGTCGTAGAGGCGCGCCGAGCCGTCCGGCAGCAGCACGACGACGCACGGCGGGGAGGTGGAGGATGAGGCCTCGTCGGCCTTTACTACTTGCGCCATGCGTGCAACGACGACTTCGGTGGAGAAAATCTAGGTTCAACAGCAAAAAAACAGAAGGGACTAGGAAGGAGAATGGTCTCAAGAATGTTCAAGTGGTGTGATGCAATGAGAGAGACAACTTGACATCGTGTCGGGAAAAGGCGATCTTATGTACACCCTGTTTCGCGCTAGCAGAGCATCTGGTTGCAGAACATGCACTGGTTGTAGAACGTCACCACGCTTGAAATGGTCTTATCACCGACGGTACAAGCACATTCACAAGAAAGCGGTTAGCTAGGATGCTGCATGGTAAAGAACATTAAACAAGCGTTTCAAAGCGGTTGAAAAGGGTATACAGCGATAAAGAAAAAATTTGCCCCCAGTACCACTCCGTCAGCTGGTGCGGCTTTGCCCGCAGGTTTCAGCCATACGGTTTATGGCACCTGACCGCACTGTAGCAGCGAATCGCGCAAGGTGAGAGGGTCGAGAAACAGGGTGTAGCGGATTAGAGCGACCCAGCTCTCCAGAAGACCGCGTTGCTATGTACTGTTTCTGTAGCTGTGGCTACTAACGCTCGCTTGGTCAGCCCATAAAAAGGCGCGGCTTGTTACGCCACGCCACTCGTTGCGAAAATCACGCGGCGATTTTATTCGAGAGTGTGTGGCGTCCGTTCAGCTGTCACGCGTTCTAAACGCTTGTGGCAAAATGGGTGCGCCACAGGCGGTCAGCTCAGCGACGACGAAACGCGCCGCAGCAGCAGTTTCCTTCCAAACAACAACAGGCCCCCCGCAGAAGGGGGAAGTTTGGCTCTTACCAGTCCTTGGAACAGAACCAGGGAAGGGTGAGCCTCGCATAGTAGAACTTGTGCGTTGCCAGTTGGGTCGTCGCGACAGTGCTGGCATGTCGCAGCATTCCGTCGCTATCGGTTCTTCAGCTCGAATAACGGTCGCACAAAATCGTGAATCTCGCAAATCTCGCGATTGTTTTTTGCTTTCTGACGGTGAATGGTACTTGCTTGGGACGTGTCAGTCGGTAAGTGGATTACTGAGAGGTCTTCTATGTCGGTGGACGTGTTTCTCGACGGTCACGAACAGAAAAGAACTGCTGACCCGTCATTCATCAATGTTTCATCGTCGTTTGATGACACGTTTTCAACACGTTCAGAGTCGCTTGGGCTGTGGGCTGCGACGCGACACGACCCTAAACTGCATACTGTACACCCGAGCATCATCCTGTCAACGTCGGAAGAATACATAAAGAGATAGAGCACGTAGGATGCACGCGCCTCCTCGACTCCGTGTTACAGTTCGGCTTGAAGCAATAGCTCACAAGAAATGTGAGACCTCACAAGCATCAGTGTAGACATCATATGTTCAATATGACCAGGTCCGAACTCCAGCAACATAACATGTAACCTGTGTTGGACTGAAAAAATAGTCCTTAGGATCTTTGCAGAGGAGAACTCTTGGGTAGAAACTTGTAATAGCGGAAGCGTTTTAATGAGGATTGTGAACCGACCTTGCACTGGTGTGTGAGAGCAAAGTAGATTGGATTAAACAAGCAAATACAAGGATTTATATAAGAGTACAGGGAATACGAATAGATAGAAAGATAACTGTATTACTGTTGCGGTTCGATATAGTGCGACTCGGGCAACTGCTCAGTAACGAGTCAGTTGTGTGTCCTTAACTGTCGCGCTGTAATTGTCGAGTCAAAGGTCAGCGACCTTTGACTTTCTCGTAACCTCCAGGCGGTTACCCTAACCTCCGAGGTTGACTCGATGCTTCGATTGGGACTGCTTCGCTTGGTGCCTTGGATTTTGATACGACAGAAGCGCACTTAGGACTTATTGTTTCCAACACTCCCCTTCGCTTCTGGAGTGTCGCTGCTGGTGACGTGGCCTTGTCCAGTCAGCATCATGCAGTATTCGAACTTCTGCTTTCCGAGTTTCTTGGTCAAGTAATCGGCTGCCATCTCGGATGTTGGACAGTATGACAGATCGAGTTTCCCTTTTTCTATCTCGTCCTTCACGAAGAAATAGCGCAGGGCGATGTGTTTCGTCCTGTTTGCGAAGCCGTTTTTGTTGGCGATGCGAATTGCCGACTGGTTGTCGCAGAACACGGTGAAGCTGGGTAACTCGGCTAGCTTCGCTTCTTCCAGTAGTTCGCGAAGGTAAAGTCCCTCCTTGGTGGCTGAGCAGAGTGCAATATATTCTGCTTCTACTGAAGATAGTGCGATTAACTCCTGCTTGCTCGACTGCCAGGAGATAGGACCGATAGGCTCAAGGCGGTAGACATAGCCGGTGCGTGAGCGCCTGTTGTCGGTGTCGCCGGCGTGATCGGCGTCGACGTAGCCGATTAGCTTGGTCGGTGTAGTCACGTTTTTGTGATAAGTTAGTCCGATCGTCGCGGTGCTGACGAAGTAGTGGAGAGCACGATCGAGTTCCGCCAGATGCTCTGCTTCAGGTCTCTTGAGATAGGTAGCGAGCTGACTCGCGGAGTAGGATAGGTCGGGACAGCATGTGACTGCTGCGAAAAGAAGACATCCAAGCTTCTTCTGATAGTCGCGTATGCCGGCGGGTTTAAGTAGAGTAGATTGCCCCTTTTCGGTTCCTGACGCGTAGCGGTAAGGCGTGGAGATGGCGCTTGGTGTGAGGCGAAAGCGTTTCGCGATAGTGTCGGCGTACTTCTCGGCGCTTAGGTAGATTGCGTTTTCTTCCTCACGGATGTTGAGCCCGAGGTATTGCGTAACCGTAGAAGAGACCGTGAGCGTGAGGTCTTTCTGGAGCTCCCCTTCGAACCACGTGGCGATGTCGTCGGTTGACCCAATGTAGAGGAGATCGTCCACATAGACGATTAGTAGGACGTAATCGCCTCCTTTTGTGAGGCGATACATGCCCTGGTCATGCGGGAGTTGTTTGAAGCCGATGCGGATGAGGCGGGCGTGTAGGTACTGCTGCCACAGTCGCGGTGCCTGCTTGATCCCATAGAGTGATTTGAGTAGTTGACACGCTCGGTTGGGTTCGCCGTGGGAGCCGTGTGGGAGTTCGACGAAGATTTCTGCATCCACAGGTGCGTAGAGAAATGCGTTCGCAACGTCGATTTGTCGCAATTTCTTTTTCTTCATGGCGGCGACGGCGATGAGAATTCGGAGTGAAGTGTGGCGACTGACCGGAGCGAAGGTTTCGGTGTAATCTCTTCCGTGCTCCTGGTCGAAGCCACGTACGACCCAGCAGGCTTTGAATTTGTCGATGGTGCCATCAGCTTTCGTCTTCACACGGAAGACCCATTTCCCGGTAAGAATGTTTTTATTTTGAG